GATATGGTACAGTGGGGACGAAGAGAAACACCAACATGGTGTGGGTTTCATCGTAAACAAAAAACAAGTTAACTCTGTAATAAGCCGTAGACCCGTAAACAATAGAATCATTTCTCTACGAGTTAGGGCTCAACCACTTAACATAACAATAATACAAGCTTATGCGCCTACATCTGAATACCAGGACGAGGAAGTAGAATGCTTCTATGATGAACTAGAGGAGTGTATTAATGAGGCTCCGAAAAAAGACATTCTTATTGTCATGGGTGACTGGAATGCTAAGGTAGGTGAAGATGCATATGACCAATGGGCAGGCACAGCTGGACGTTTTGGATTAGGTGAAACCAATGAGAGAGGAATAAGACTGCTGGAATTTGCAAGCAGCCACAAGCTCACACTGGCCAACACTCTATTCCCTCATAAGACATCAAGGAAAACAACATGGCACTCACCTGACAACAAAACACATAGCCAGATAGACTACATTCTGTTCCCAGCAAGATTCAAGTCAAGCATTAACAAGGCTAAAACCAGAACTTTTCCTGGAGCAGACATAGGCAGCGATCATGACATGGTTTTAATGACTATAAAATTAAAACTAAAACAGAACCGCAGACAAATAAGCCCTCGAATCAGATATGACCTAGAGAAACTTAGGGACCCAAACATAGCAGAAATGTTTAAGGCAAATGTAGGGGGCAAGTTCGCTGCACTTACCTTGATTCACGACAATATCGATTCACTCACTGAAACCATTAAAACAGTGCTGCATGAATCAGCAACAGAAGTTCTGGGTAACAAAAGAAAGAAAATCAAACCATGGGTCACAGACGATATTTTAAACCTGTGTGATACAAGAAGAGAACTAAAAAAGAAGAAAGGACTTAATTCCCAGTACAGGGAAGAGTATAGAACAGTAGACAAAGAAATACGCTCCAAAATGAAGAGAGCAAAAGAGGGCTGGATTACTGAACAATGTAATATCATCGATAACAGCTTAAGGGGAGGCAACAATAAAAAAGCATTCGAAACACTGAGTAAGCTGACCAATACGAAACTGAATAGAGCAACCGTAATTGAGGATGGTAAAGGCACCCTCTTAACAGAAGAAGCAGATATCCTTAGAAGGTGGACAGAATACTGTAAGGGACTCTACAATCATAAAATAAGCCCTAATTATAGCCTAATAAACAATTCATGCTGGGACAATAGGGAGATCGGTGATTCACCCATACTAGAGTCAGAAGTAGAGGAAGCAATAAAATCACTTAAGGGAGATAAATCACCAGGAATTGACAACATACCGGCAGAACTAATTAAACATGGTGGACCACACACAGTTAAATGGCTGAAAGCAGCCTGTCAAAAAATCTGGCAAGAAAAAGAATGGCCTAAAGAATGGACTCAGTCACTAATCATACCAATATTTAAGAAAGGGGACGCAAAGCAGTGCGAGAACTACAGAACAATAAGTTTAATCAGCCACCCAAGTAAAGTCATGCTGAAAGTAATATTGAACAGACTCAAAAAGAAAGTAGAGGAAAAACTCTCAGAAGAACAGGCCGGATTCAGGCCGGGCAGAAGCACTGCTGAACAAATTTTTAACATAAGGGTACTAAACGAAAAATGTCTACAACACCAAAAAATGCTAGTACACAACTTTATCGATTTTAAGAAGGCCTTTGACCGTGTGTGGCACGAAGGCTTATGGCAAGTCATGAATAACTACAATATAGATAAAAACATAATTGAGGTTATTAAGTCTTTATATAACAAATCTAGTAGTGCAGTATCTCTAAATAATCAAACTGGCGAGTTCTTCAGAACAACTATAGGAGTACGCCAAGGGTGCATTCTCTCACCAGTCCTCTTTAATTTATTCCTCGAACATATTATGACACAAACCCTACATGACTTTACACCGACACTTAGCATAAACGGAAGACCAATTTCCAACCTCAGATTTGCTGATGATATAGCCCTCATTGGGGAAAACATTGATCAAGTTCAGGACATCACCTCAAGACTTGATGTTGCAACCAAATCTGTGGGCATGGAAATCAGCACAGAAAAAAGCAAAATACTCATTAACGGAGGAAACAACTCAGATAGATGTATCAGACTTGATGGACATGTATTAGAAGAGGTTGAAACTTTCAAATACCTTGGGTCTACCCTAACAAAAGATGGAAGGTCCACTAAGGAAATAAAAATTCGACTAAACCTAGCCTCTGCCACCATGTCCAAGTTAGGGAAAATATGGAAGAGCAACATCAGCGTCTCAGCAAAAATGAAACTCTACTCGTCACTGGTCCTCTCTGTATTCCTATATGGATGTGAGAGCTGGACCCTGAATCCAGAGACAGAAAGAAGAATACAAGCCTTCGAAAACAAAAGCTATAGAAGGATCCTAGGAATAAGTTACCTTGAAAGGAAAACTAATGAATATGTCTTACACCAGGTCCATAGACTGGCAGGAAAACAGGAACCACTCCTTTCAATCGTAAAGAAACGGAAACTACAATGGTTCGGCCACACGGTAAGACATGACACATTGTCCAAAACGATTCTACAAGGCACAGTAGGAGGAGCACGGAAGAGAGGTCGACCGAATAAGAGCTGGCTTGACAACATAAAAGAGTGGACTGAAATGCCCTTGGATACGCTACAGAAAATAGCATTAAACCGAGAAGAATGGCGAAGACTGATAGCGCAAACTGTCATAGCACCCCCACGACGAAAGTCAAGGGACTGATGATGATGATGATGATGATGATGAACGTGTAATGAACGAGTTGCCGCGTCAAGTTTTTCTGCTATGTAATTCTCACTGCATTCGAATTAATTTTGTCAACCTATGACTAATGAATAGGATGACATTACTATTTTGCGTATTCACGAGATTTAAGTTGTGATGCAACCTGAAGCAATGGGGTTTTGGCTACGTCCATACACTTTTAGCTTTGTATTTGAGAATGATTTGGCATGTGTTACCGAGGAATTACATTGTTTTCGATTTATTTAAGCTATTACTGATGAAATATCTGGTCGAGTCCCTTATTTCTTGAAATTCGTGTATAACCTGCACGCCGTATATTGGGAGTTAGGCGATACATACTTTAACTAAGCTTCTTTAATGATTGCATTTTTTATTTTACTGTAAAACCTTCAGTGTGGGGATGTTTAGTATCACCCATAAGCTCACGGAAATATGATAAATTAATGGATCAAAACACTTGTTAGAACAAATTAAGTGAAGAAGCACTAACATTCGGATTATGTGTAGTTCAACGATCAGTTCATTTATTGTTACTACTAGCGTGTGAAGAAAATTGTCACGAATATTCAATTCTGAAGAAACAATGGCTTGTGTGCATGCTGTGTTGATTCAAGATATCCCCCTTATTTTCGATCACTCCGTCACACTAAAATAGTTCTTTGAAAATGCACTACATTCTTCGCTCATTAGTTTTCAGGAGTTCTTAACTATCTTAACTTCATGGTAGCCAAGACATTCGCTTATTGGTGTACCACTGTGCTCAAAGTAAACAAAACTTAAAATCCCCCAGTTAATGCAGGTAACGGGCTTTCTATTATACAGTCTAAAAACAGATCAGTATGACATTATCTTTCACGCTATCCTTCAATCTCCCGAAACTTGTTGTTGGGAATGCGGGTGTACCCATACACAAAATACCTTTCTACAGAACTCATCAAATTACGGGCCTGTAATTCTCCTAGGGCAGGTATAATTTTAAAAATGTTCCTGGTTCATTCAAGTGCTCATAGTAGAGCCTACATTCCGAAACTTTGATTTCAAAGGTGCTCACTTTATCTATGGAGCGCTTTTGCTGCTGAATAATGTCCACCGGCAGTAGGATTTCTGCACACCTCATGTTTACAGTTCTAAATAATTCTTTGGGTTGGTTACAATTTGTAGTATTATTCATGGTTGTGAAAAATTTCAGACTAAATGGAACACAATTGGTGTTGTCCTAATAGATCTTAGTATGGGGTGGAGTAAAACAAGTGTGGTATGTTATTCATTACCTTAAATTTTCCATTCAAAAATTTCCATGGATAACTGCGCACAAGCATAATGTGTTATGATTAATTAAATTTATTTGGCCTTCCACTTGACATACAATAGGTAATAGCGAGAAAATTATCTATACCTATGGGTATTATATGAATCAGGGATTTATGCCAATTAATGAGTATTGGGAATAAACCATAAAAAGTGAAGAATGAACTAGACTGTTTTGAAATGGATTAGGTTCAACGCTTGAAATCTGGCTATAGAAAAGATATTTTTGATTCACTGAAATCACTGAAGTGCAGAGTGGCTAAGAGCATACAATTTTGTAAAATTATTATCATTAATTTTACTTTTGTATCCTGATAATGGAAGGAGAATATGGTTTTTGTTTCTGAACCATTTTTTCTGATTAAGGAAGCGTTCTTCTCCAGCTTCGATTGATCCCATCACTTTATAATGGGAGTAGTGAGAGTTAGTTTATGCATTTAAGCAAGTAATAAGGTGCTCGAGGCTACTCTTACTTGTTTTATTATATCGATATTGAAGGTTTATCTGTTGCGCGCTCCGCTCAGTTGCGGTGTAGAATGTCAACGATTGTGGATAAGTACCTGAAGTGTGTACGTTCTGGAGGCGATGCTACTGATTTACTACTCGAAATACGAAGGTATAACCTTTCGGCAACAATATTCTTTCTAGTCTTCTGAAGACAAACAACCTATCTGGGATTTCAAATGCGAACCTTGAAAAGCTTGTGTTTGGGAATAGTGGGCTCGTCGCTCTGTGTAAATCAAGCACTGAATACTGTGAATGTTCACTTGAAATTATCATGCAGCTTGTGAAGTGTGAAACGTTGTAGGTTTCTCTGGATAATGTGTTATTGGATAGGACACTCAAGTCAATGAACGAAAGCAAGAAAGAAAGTATAGTATCAGCAGTCTTGGAAACATTAAAAAAGAGCAAAATGAAAGACGTGTGGAAGGATGGCCTTTCATTCCTGGCAGTCGAAGGTATTGTGGAAGTTTTCGGCTGTAGCAGAACACAGGTATCTTGTAGCTCTATATATCATATCTCAGGTTGATGTTTTGTGTGATCTACTTTTGCAGGTTCACTCTTCATCATCACGAAACTCCATAGTCTGTGAGCACACATGTAACTTTTTCAGCAAGTGAGTATCATTTATACCATATCGGAGTGTGTATAATGTGGTTTTTCTGCTGACTATTTTGTAAGCATTTTCGAAGAATATTTCTTCAAATACCACCGCAAAATGTCCTAGCTTTGGATTCATTAATTTGCTAGCTAAGTAACTGCTTTTGTCTTAGCCAACTTTCCCTGTGTTAATATATGCTGTAAACAGTAAGCTACACTACTGTAAAATGGTGCTATAAGTCGTATGACCAGAGCTGTCATTTCTGAGTTCAATAGCTATTAATTTTCGTTCACCAATACGAATACCTGGAGACGTTTCAGACTTAAGACTAATTATTTTTACATGTGAATTATGGATTACAGTCTTCGGTGCTGTGCATGTATGCAGCATGTATTTGAACACAACCCGGAATAAATCTGTTGCTTGGCACGCCATGAGCTGGTAATACTAACTGCTTGCATACGGTGAAATAGTTCCAGCAGTATTCTACCGTTGAACTTATTGTCTTAAAATTGAGCGCTTAGACCAGATTCACCTTGTTGCCTATGTTAATCTTTCCACTATATATCTCTGCAGAGATCTAATTTCTCTTTGAAAGCGTTCACCGATGGAGCTATTACTAATGAGTTAGGTAAGGAGTTCCAGTCGTTGACCACTCTGTGAGAGAATCTAAATTCCAAACGCATTTTATTCATCCTGGATTTGACCACCTTTTTGTGGTGACCTCGTAAACGTAACCTAGAAGGAGAGAAAATATTAGAAAGGTCAATCCTAAAATCATCCTTTAATATATGGTATGATAATGGGAAGAGATTTAAATGGTTCATCCTCTTATTATAAGGAAGGTGTGAGATACCACTGAATCATTTGGTTCCTACCCTCCGTACTCTTCCCGAGATATGCTCCTTCTTGAAGCATGGACTCACCGCTTGTACACTACTCTACATGAGGCCTGACATACGTTGCAGAGTATTTGGAAAATAAACTCGTCTAGTCGTTCGAAAGCCCTTCGAAGTGACAATAGCATTCAAAAAGCCTTAGCTGCGGCTCCATTACAATTTGCAGCTGACAATGATTCCTAAGTCCTTTTGTCCTTTAACGTCTGGCAGTTCTGCGTCCCCCAGGGACTATCACGTGTATGACCTCTGACCTAAGTGCATTGCCGAGCTTTTTTGGAATTGATTTCCAGGCTCCAGAGGTTCGACCATTCAGCTACTTTATCTAGATCGCTTTGTAATACCGACCTGTCATCATTATTATTTACAGTTTTCGAGATCTTAATGTCTTCCTCGAATAATAGTGAAGATGGGGTAAAATGTTTTGGTAGATCATTTACGTATAGTAGGAATGGCAGGGGGCCTAGTACAGTTCCCTGAGATACTCCACCATGACAGTAGACCATTAACCCTTACCTTTTGCCTTCTATTCATTAAGTAGCCCCTAAACCACTCACAGGAGTTGGTCTAACCCAAAACGTTTTAGTTTACTAAGAAGACCTAAATGGGATATTTTATCGGATGCTTTACTAAGACCGATTAAAACAATGTCCAATAGAAGGATTTTATCCCTAGCTTCGATTCAGTCTTCCCTAGCCAATAGTAGGTTCGTCAGATAGGGTTGTCTTGGTCGGAATCCATGCTGTTCCACCGCCAGGGAGCCATGTTTCTGCACATGAGCTAAGAGCTGGTCCCTCATGGTTGTTTCTGGCGCCTCTGCTATAATCCAGGTTAGACTTACGTGCCGGTAGTTAGATACCAACTACCTGTTCCTCTCTGTGAAGATGGGGCTTGTAACTGCATCCCTCCATTCCCTGGGTAGCCTAGCCTGGGTTAGAGACATTTGAAAAATCTCTGTAAGTGGAATGTATGTTATGTCCGCCAAGGAGGTTAACAGTCTAGGGTAAAGTCCGTTGGGCCCAGGTGTCTTACTTGGTTTCAGTTTAGATAGTAGTTTGAGAACCACTGCGTCCTCCACCAAAATTGAGGGTATTTTAGTGGCTTTTAGTCGCTATACCCCTGGATGGTACGATCAGACGAAAAGACATCACAAAAGTATTCCGAGAGGTTTATAGGTTTTGTTTTATTTGACTCGACCGCCTCTCCAGTGCAGCCTGAGTGACGATATACCACTTAATTTTAGTCCTACGTTTAATATACGAGTACGGCCTTTTTGGGTAATGTACACAATCCAGTACTAACTGTCTCTCATACTCTATACGACTTTTGTCAATCATATACTTACAAAGGTTTCAAATTTTGCGGTATTCCATCCGGAACTCTTTCTTCCCTGTCACAGTAGACCGGTCCCATAAGTTCTTTCGCTTTCTTAATAACCCCTTTATTTCATTATTAATCTAAGGTGGTTTATGAGATAGTTTTCAAGGCGTAGACCAAGGCACAAAAGGTGCAGTGACAAAATCTAGTGTATTCCTAAATATCACCCAAGCTTCCTTGACGGTCCGTTTTGCAACAACTGACCAGTTAGCTAGGGTTACCGCGTTTTGGATTGCAAGTATGTCCGCTTTTCGAATGTCTGGATGAGCAGATGTTGACCTATGTGTGAGAGCATGAATCTTAAACGTAAAAGTAGTAACTACATGGTGACTCCTGCCTAGCGACACTAACATCCTCCTTATGGTGTGTTAGCACCAAGTCTAGATTAGATGGATCATGTTCAGGACGGTATCGTGTTGGTGCATGTATATGCTGCACAAGTACATTTCCAAATAATGTCAGTGTAAGTTCTCTGTTGAAACCGGTTTACAAGCTGGTGGATGTTAGTTCCTCTCAATTAATATGTGGTACATTAAAGTTGCGTACTATGAGACACCTGTTTCTACCACTCCATGCCCTGAGGTGATTTAATACGAAATTATCAATTTGGTTGGTGGGACTTCTAGACCAGTAAGCCGACTCTGCACGTTTCCACAACTGGGACAGTAATTAGAAAACTGAGACAATGTTCTTAAGGTATTTAGAAAATGACTTTTCGAGTAAAATTTATTGCTTGTAATTTTGCGATGGAATGTTTTTATGATATGCTAACAAAAAAACAAATTGTGTTCCAAATGTTACTAAATGAAATGCGTTATTGTTCCATATGGAACTGTCAAACTAACATAGAATTACACTCTGCTTCAGTGACCAAATTTTACTCTTGTGTTTACTCCATTTTTAATTTTCACCTCTCTAGTGTTTTATGGGATTTTATAACATCAGTTTACATCTATAAGTCAATTGAACCATTTATTGTTCTTTTTATAGGCTCTGGGAATCTCAGACGGATTTGTTTGTACGCCAGCCTGCATTATCTGGTCTGCATTCTGTCGTGCAAATCTTGGCTTTTGGTATGGCTTTGGCGAAAGTTGATCCGGAGATGTATGTTGAGAAACTGAATATTTTGCCTGGAAAGCTAAAAAAAGTTGCAAAAAAGTTACAAAACAGTGGTTTAATACCTAAAGCTCACTTTTTCAGCATACGAGAAGTTGTTGATTTATCACCAACGGTAAGCATACTTACATTGTTGAAGTCATGAGTTACCAATAGCTCAGATACAACGGTCATTGCTCATAGTGTTGTATATCTGCATGTACGCTCACTATTAAATCGAGTGGTATGAATAATCTAAAGCGCATATTGTGGACTATACATGATTGCTAGATTCTGAAACAGCAATGGAAGACTAATGTTTGATCCCACAACCAAATGTTTGAGGCTATGATGTCTAGAACAGCAGGTTACATTTTCGTAAATGTGGCGATTTGTATTCTCGGACTTGTTTTGCACTTCAATTATTCAGTCATTAATAGTCACAGTTAATAGTATTCGAGTGTTTGCAAATTGAAACAACCATAGGTTGTGAATGACGTGACATGTATCAGGTTTTGTACTACCCTTTCAAGGTCAATACTGGCCGTCATAAACACTTTTTATGCACATTGGGTGGTAATAGGCTAGTCATTTAATTCCCATACTAATTCCGATTTTACGTACCTCAAATGGTAAATATTTGTTTATATATTTTCATTTTTAGAAGATACTATGTATGATTGGTGACCTTTTGTGTCAGAAACCTGGCCCCGTTCTAGTCATTTTGGACCAGCTTGTTTATATGTTTCCAGGTGTAAGTGCATTTGTTTTTCATTTAAATATTCTATACCTTTCTTTTATTATAACCAAGTGTAAAATGTCAGAGTAATTTTTTGTTGTTGTTGGGAAAATAGAACTAATGATTTATTTAACCCTGTAAACTCATTGGAAGTGTGTTTAAAGTACTTCAGAAATACTCAAGCAGTGAGTGAACATTTAGGGCTGCATATAATAATCTGTAATGATACTTTGACGTGCTACTGTAACTTTTTTTTCATGGAATGATTCGATGGTTTAATTGTTTTAGCTGTACACAGTTGCGTTTGAAGTACCAATCAGGATATGCGAAATATAATCCTATTATTACCCTCGAACGTGTGCCTACTTGAAATTCAACGCTAATTAAACTTTTGTGTCGCGTAAAGAGTTGTTGAGTAATTTATGTCACGCTGTATGAAAATCGGCCATTTTTGGAAATTAATTTCGAGTTTATTTATCTTTTCTGCATAATAGGAGTATCCTGAGATACTTGGGATTTAAAGTGGTATCAAATGTTTTCCATGTAATCCTTTATTTTTCTTTGTTTAATCCTTTTTATAGTTTATTGTGGATGAATCAGCTCTATCTAAAATTATTGAAATCTTAATGCGAGCAATCCGTATATCTTCATTGGATCATTCCGACCCAAGTAACACGACAAAATCGTCTAAAACATCCGAAGAACCTTCTGTTTTAGCCTTGGATATATTTGTTAGATTGGTTGGAACTTTGTCCACTTACGGCGCAAAATTCACTGGTATATACTTTGTGTTATTTCTTCTTTTAATTTACTCTTAAACATTTTTTATTTTTAAAAAAAGGCGTACAAGTGTGAAGTAAAGTCATAAAGTCATTTCATTTTCAAAGAAAAATATCCCTAAATAAAAAGAATGAACATATTGAAATGTTATCCTTTCTTCTCTTACAGATTTGCCTCGGATACTACTCCAACTATTTGATGTGCTTCGTGCTTTCCCAACAACATTAGCTCATTCAGAAGCTCGTTTAAATGCATGGTGGCATTTTATTTGTTGCTTACCTGCAGATCTACTTAGCGAAGGTTTTAGAAAGGTATCTGTTGTAATAGTTTTCACTTTATTTATTTGACTACTTATCTAACGACAAGTTTGAACAGGCAAAAAGGCAATAATGTGACTCGACATGTTGGTGACTTCTGAGATTTTTTAAGTCTTATGAACGAAGCAGCCGTTTCATATTAGAGGCTTGATCTTCTGGTGGTTTGCGTAATCGTTGGATAGGGGATCTGCTAAGTATCAGCATCACGGATGCGATCTAGTATCATTTCAACATCCGCCGTTATTAATACTGAAATATTGATGCATATACGGGCGCATGTAAGCTGTCGATAACAGCTTTTATTATTAAGAATCAACTCTCCACCCACTCGACTTCTTTTTTTTCTTTGTTATTTGTAATGTCCGGCTTGAATGCATCTTTTCATTAGGATTTACACGAAAACACTTTAAACGAAATTTATTGAGATACATTTTGACACTTATTCACATGATTTTGTTAGATATTTGCATGGAAATAGGTTTGTTAATGCTGTTAATGCTTCATTTTCCAATGAATGTCCTCAACATAAGCCTTCATTTGCCTATTGCCAGTAGCATATTTAAGACTTTTACGTGACTATTTTCTGTAGTTGAGTGTTTTTTGGTCTTTATAATATAGTGTTTCACTTTTCCTTTGAAATTTCGCTTCTCAGTTCTTATCTCCTTTCCTGGCAAACCTTCTGGGACGTTATCTTAGCATCAGCGCTCCTCAAGGAGATCGTAAGTCTGTTTTTTTTCTAAGTGAAGTTTTTCGTTATTGGTAATTTCGTTAATTTACTGACAATAAGTGAGTATGTCTTTAAGTTAGAATCTGTTACTTTAACTTATCCTTTTGTAATTTAATGTGGCACATCCAGGTTTTCTTTCTCTCGTAAGAATACTTTCACACTTTGTATATTTAGGTTTCATTCATGCATTGATTTACGTTTTTTGCAGTTCAAGTGTGTATGGAGAAATGAAGCGTGTTTAGAATATATTCAAATGAATGATGACGAATTCTTTGTAATAAAAGTGAAGATTTTCATGCTTGGCAGGTGAATTAAGAATGAGATGGAAGTAGTACCAAAAGAGTAGACTGCCAATCATTAACTACCAGTGAAATTACTCGTTCGAGTCTTCGGAGTATCTGAAGTCTCTAGTTCTGTCTGTCTGGATTCAACATAGAACTTGGCACTGAAGTGCAGCAGTTCGAGTTGCCACGTTCCAAATAGCACACAAAGGTAGTCAAGAAGATGAGTGAAGAGAATCAATAGAGTTTTGACAAGTATAAGAGTGAAACAGAATGAGTAATGGTAGAAAGGAACATGAAAGATTACAGAGATTGAATACATCTGCGCCATTGACAACGATTTTGAGCCATGTCACCTATTGTCTCCAGCCATTGATTCTTAGGGTCCTGAGGGCGGGCCCCAACCCGGAAGTCTGCATCTCCCTACCTGATTCAGTTTAACTGTTAAGGATTTCATGGACTGATGCCATGTTTTTGTTTGGCCACCACTCACTCTTTTCCAACCTGCATCTATATCAGCTAGTAATGCCCGTCGGGGGAGGCGATGGTTAGGCATGCGCGGCACGTGACCTAGCCATCTCAATCTATTGATTGATTGATTGATTTTCCCTCCTTGCCCAACACTACGCCTAACGTCAACATTACTTACCTTAATATACCACCTAACGTGAGAAAGAGATCGTAGACATCTATGATCAAAAACAGTCAACCTTTTCATATCTTCAATTCGTATTGGCCATGTTTCAGAGCCATAGAGAAGGACGGAGCGAACTGCTGAGCAGTGCACATATCCCTTGGTTGTGTACTGTCTAGTTAGTTATTTTCAGACTAATAGGTTCGAAATAAGTATGAAACTTGGGCACTGTGGTAGAGCATAACTCCATTATGGATAAGATTTTATTTTGATAAATCACACAGTGTTGATATGATTATGAGCAATAGTTTATGCTCGAAACGTCATCAGTTAATATAACTGTACAACACTGTGTGATTTATCAGAATAAAATCTTATCGATAATGGAGTTAATAGGTTCAAAATCAATTGTAGTAGTGTATATTCCTTTTTGATTTTGTTAAGCATGTTCCCACTTTTCTCGGCAGTTCTAACTTCTCTCTTTTGTGAATACAATGCACTTAATTTATTGCCAAATCAATTTCCTAGTTTTGGGCGAAATTCAGTGTACAAACCTTATGTAATACAATCGCCGTTGAAATTGTTAAGAACATTATCCTGTCTTTTCATCGTTTTGCTCTTCTGTCGATTAAATCCTCTTGTTTTGGTTCAGTAAGCTTTTTAGTATCATTATTTTTCATGTTTCGGGCGTGGTTCACTACCTAATAGATCAAGTGGTATTGACACTGTATTCAGACCCACTCAACCGTTTAGTAGTTTATGAAGAGTCATCATCTGAAGTAATGACAACCAGTGGTGTTCCCCACTGTTCCCATTCCTGTTTAGTTTCATCATATTATGTACTTATGGAATTGACATTAACTGACTTCAGCGACTTAGGAATTGACCTGTTGCCAGGGTATGTTCTTGTTGACTTAGAATGTGTGGATGATGTATAGTCTTCCTAGGTGAAAACTGATTAAATACTAAGTCTTCTGAACATCTTGAGCAGCTATCTTCGAATGTTTAGCATACGATTTGCTCCTATCAGGTGTTTAAGATGGTGCTGCCGTAGTAGACTACATCGACTCCTAGCTTAAAGATAAAGAGTGTGGGGGTAGAGGGTGTTGACCACTTCACTTATTTGAGAAATTGCATCAGCTCCAATGGACTAATCACTGATGGGATCTCAGCACGGATTCAAAAGCCTCATGTGGCATTCGCCAACTTTCGTAATTCTTAACGTAGATGTGGTATCCAGTTATCGATAGAGGAACGTGTGTACTGAGCACCAGTTTGTTCTGTCCTCCTTTATAGCTTTGAGATATGGTCATTAAACGTGAAAGAAAGACTTGAGAAGGTTAGCTGTATTTGACCATAAGTGTTTGCTTTCTATCTCCTACGTTAGGTGGTGTAGAGTGTTAGGTAAGGAGGGTAAGTCAGTCGATGAGGTAGTGAGGCTACAGCGACTGAGATAGTTTGAACAAGCGTTGCGCATTCCGATCCATTGCCTTCCTCAACGGGCAATGTTAGCCGATATAGGATTAGAATGGAAGAGGGTTTGGGGGTGGTCAAAACTAAACTTGGAATCAGTCTGTGAAGTCTGACTGTTGGTTTAAACCACATAAGAAGGTTTAGGCTACCTGGTTGGCGTCCTCAAGGTGTTAAGAACCAATGGCTTCGGGGATATTGGTGACGTGTCTGAAAATCATTGTCGATGGCGTAGATGCATTCACTCTTTGTGACCCCGCAACATCTACTAAACAGTTGTGCTTTCCCATGTTACTATTCTTTCTTCTTCATATTTCTGCTCATAATAGTTGTTTTGAATCCCGTTCTCTCTCTATTTTGTCTACCGGCATTTGTTTAGTGTTCTCATGTTGAATACCTTTTAATTGCTTTCATTATTTAGTGTTTCATTGTTTTTTTTTTATCTTGCATAGCTCAACTTCATCCATACAGACTCAGTCAGGGAAGTGTATATGAAGGGAATATAAAAGCTTTGGAACTAATTCAACATGTATACAGTTGTTTTTTCAGTGGATCTTCAATTACCTTCCGCTATTTGAATGGTAAGTTTAATAAATTTATTTTTCTTATTATTATCGCCATCTTCGTCTACACAGAGAAAACAATTCCACAATCTTACTATTATTTTCTTACTTTCTGTTATATTCAATTATATATATACCTCTATTTTGTTGCTGTAGTCATCGTATGCAGAAAACAATGTCACTTATTGTATTTATCTATTATTATTATTATTTTTCCTTTGATTCCTAGAGGAACATAGGGCTTCAGCCGTACGTCTCCATTGCGTTCGGTTCTCTGCTAGAGTTTTCACCTGGCTCCAAGTCTGCCCACACGTTTTCATCTCCTCTTCACATGACCTCCTCCAAGTCACCCTCGCACTGACGACCGACTCGCCGCTTCCCTTCTGGGTTCCACTCGAGCAATGGCTTGTCTAGTGATGTCACTTGCTGGTTTCCTAAGACTATGGCCAATCCATCTCCATTTCTTCCTGCCTATTTGTTTCACAATCGGTTCCTGGTTGGTTCGCTCCCAAAGATCCCTGTTGCTGATCTTTTCTGGCCATCTGATCTTGAGTATTGAGCGAAGACAACTGTTGATGAAGGTCTGTAGTTTGTTTGAGGTGCTGTTTATGACGCACCAAGTCTCTGATCCGTATAGTAGCACTGACTGACTTCACATTGGAGTTGAAAATCCGGATCTTGTTTTTGATGCTGAGTGCTGTTGACGTCCACACAGACTTGAGATTAGTGAAAGCTTGTCTTGCTTTTCCGATTCTTGCTTTGATATCCTCGTCAGTTCCGTTCGGCTGTAGTTGAAACGATGCTTCTCAGGTAGGTAAAAGAGGTTGTTTCTTTCAGGTTCCTCCCATTTATGCTGGCTGATTGTTGTCTGTTGTTGTTGTCCAGAAATCTTCATCACCTCTGTTTTATCTATGTTCACCTGAAGTCCTATCTTTGTTGCTTCTTCTGACAACTTGTTGCTTTTCGCTTGCATATCTTCCAGTTTGTGGGAAATCAGACATACATTTATCTATACTAGGTTTAATTAAATTAGATGATAGTGTCTTAAACATCATTACTGATGGAATTAAGAAAATTCGTTGAATCATATTAAAGTAATTTATATAGCACAGTGATTACAGCCACTTTCGTTAAATAACAGTCTTCTGTTAACTGATATCAAAATAAGTGCCATCTCATATTACTGGTTGAAATACTGAGACATGTATGCAGGAAACCAGAAGAGAAACATGAACAGAAAAAAAGTAAACCGTTCCTAATGAATAATGAAAACTTTGCGCTGTGGTTTATGTTTTTTTAATAAAAAAGGTGATGCTTGTTCACTTTTTCTTAATACATTGCTGGTATCTTATTACAGTCTCCAAAATAGTGGTCCGCTCGCTACTCATCAGCTGCTTTCGATTTCTTCTCTCACTCAATAAGCTTTGTTTATTTATACGTATCCTTAATTTGGTTTTATCATTGTTTTACAATCAAAAACACTTAATAAATGTTATTTTATACTTATTTAAGTGGTTAGTGTTGTATATGGTTTATTCATTTGTTACGGTGTGTGTATTTTTTTTTTGTTTTATATAGTCCCACGTTTATCTGTTACTAATCAACTTTTGGTACAGAATAGTTATCCCATACTTGTCTGTTTGCTATACTGGATACGTGCTGTTCTTAAATATCGTTGCATATCAACTCCAAGAAAACAGAGAATACCTCCACATTGTCTACCTTCTCAAAGTGTTGATGAAATTTGGTGTGGTTGTATAAATTATTTACTGAAAGTATCAAAATCTGTCCAAGAGCTTCCAGCATATAAAAAGGTATATTACTTAATTGTATTCTTGTTATAATTACTGATATAGACATATTCTTAATTTCGTTGGATAGATTTGTATTTTTGTGTTTTACTTTTCACTACTATCATGTCTCATTTAAGTTAAGTTGAACAACTGGTGTCATGTGAATATTTTTTCAGAGATATTATATTTTTTCTGTCCCCATCCACAAAATTTTAGTGGAAATACCAACTTATTTGGCGATGGACTACTGTTTTATTTTCTGACGATATGACTATTAGAAGTAGGGTGCGATTTTTGAGATCACTGGTATTCTCATAGCTATACTTCTTATGATGCCATTATTATGTTGGGTTGTATTCAGGTCGGGCGGATATTCGTACTTGTGCATCGGTAGCACAGCGGTGATGACTCTCGCCGACCATGCACATGGTCCGGGGTTCGATCCCCTACCGACGCACGCCTGATATCTATGGTCGGCCTAAAAAATTTGAATTACTGATATCACATGCTGAAACTTCCATGCCTGTACCAAACAATACGGTGTGGAATCAAGCTGTAATCAGAAATAAAAAAAAATAAAAAGGCATGTTGTTTGATGTGGTTGTATTATTAGTTGGCTAAGGAGAGTATATTGCTTGAGCACAGTTACCACCTACACCCAAATTCTCTGTAGGAGTAGTTTTGGAGTCGTAATATGATATCGTTCGATGCAGTTACTGGATTACCTTTTTATTAGATATTTTTGTACTGTATTATCTAAGGGGTGTTCATTGCTTGTTTACCACCTTCCTACACTTCTCGTTAATTCCATTCCTCGATCTTATTCTTTGTTATTTGAATCTCTCAGCACTTTGTCACCATACATTTTTTATTTGATTACAGCTTCATTTCACACCGTATTTTTGATACCAGTATGGAATTTTCAGCATGTGATATCGATAGCCCGAATTTGCAGGCCGACCATTGATATCAGGTGTGCGTTGGCGGCGGATCGAATCCCGGAACATGTGCATGGTCGGCGAGAGTCCTAACCACTGTGCCACCAACGTACATGTTGTATTCAGCTTTTCGAAGTCGCTTTCTGTGATACTTATTATTTCAGTTTAGAATATTGATTGTCTTAGAACTCAAAAAAGTTTATTTGACTTCTTTATAAACTCGAACTAGGCAAGTGCTTACTCATAGCAAGTAATTATTATCTCAGAAGATGTCGAAAGGTTGTTTTTGTTGTCAAACTTACCAAACTTATCGTTTTTGACTATTGGTTTTATGTTTAACGTGTAAAATTATTCGTGTCTACATATATCTCCATGGTTAGGTGTACGATGAATAAACCTTTTGTTCTAAAAACGCTATTACCTATCCACATGTATATATTTCATTTGAAGGTGACTCCATTTCAATCTCCATCAATCTCCCCACGTGATTCCAATTCGAATTCAACACTTCTAACTGTTTGGCAACATGTAATGACTACAACTTGTGAACTAATCCAACCACGTGACGTATCATTCACTGATCCAGAAACAATAGCAACTTGTCCATACCCTTTGGAAAGCTTGGTTAGTGAGATCGTTATTTGTTCAATACTTACATGCTTAACCTCATTGTCAAAGTCATATTTTACTCTCACTTATTTCGAATATTTGTAAATTGGGATTAAGTTGTTGAAACGTCTTTTATTTCAAAGTTTAACTTTGTGGATGTGCATCCTTTTCTTTGGTCTCCTAATCTTACGTTTACGTTAGTAATTCGCTTGCTGACAGTATGTAAAGGTTTGTACTCATCACTAGTGCTTTACAACAGTACTTGGATTGATAAGAGTAGCAAGATTTATGCTTATGCTCACGTAGTTTAATTTCTAATTAGTTTGTACACTATAAGACCAACAATGCTTCCTTAGTCAAAATCTTTAGGAAGAAGAAAAGAGTGCCATGCACATAGTTTACATTCTAAAGTAAAGCAGTAACATGAGAACTCAACATTCTGATCTCACAGTAATACGAAATGTCTTGATCCTATTCCCTTGATTGAATAATTAGCATAGGTTTAAAACTGAAAGACCAATTCATTTTTGGTGTTTTTCTTTAAGTTGTCAGGGATAATACTCACAGTTAGGTTTAATTGGGTTTTTATCGATAGGTTTGTGAATTTCGTTAAAATATCATGTTGAATTACATTATTTCTCCTTCTTTATTCCTTTTTAGAATATAATTCATAATTTCACAAAGCTATTAGAAGAGTTTAAAGTTTCAGACAAGGAAAAGGTAAGTTCTTTCATAGGCAAATATGAATTTTGTCTTTTTTTATCTGTAAAGTCCTCCAATAGATGTCGAATTTCATGTTTTGTTTTTACTTTCTCAACAGTTTAGCCACTACGTGTTTAGTAGATTTATTTATTATTCCCTTGGGTTCCTAGTGGAACATAGAGCTTCACCAACACATATCCACTTTATTCTATTTGGTGCTGTCCTCTTCAGCTGGATCCGCGATTGCTCATAATCTCTCATCTCCTCTCACGATCTCCTCTATGTCACCCTCGGACGGTCTATCCGCCGCTTCCCATCGGGATTCCACTCGAGCGATGGCCTGCATTGCGCGCGATGTCATTCGACGGTCTCCTCAACGTATGCCCGATCCACCTACATTTCCTCCTAGGTATTTGTTGAGCAATTGGCTCTTAATTGGTCTGTTGCCAGAGTTTCTCACTGCTAATTCTTCCTGGTTGGCCATTGGATCTTCAGTATTGAGCCACCGAAGACAGGTGTTGATAAAAGTCTGTAACCTGTTGAAAATCCTTTTCGTGACATGCAGCGCAAGTTTCTGACCCATGTGGAAGAACTAACTGACTTCAAATTTATGTTGAAAATCTGGATTTCGTTCTTTATGCTATCTGAGTACAGAAGATTTCCAAACTGGTTTCAGGTTGATGAAGGCGTATCTCGCCTTTCCGATCCTGACTGGAGTTGACATCATCCGTGCCGACTGGCTGTGGTTGAAACCATGCTTCCTAGATAAGTGAAGGAAGTAACCTCTATTAAATCTCTCCAGTTGATGGTGATTAGTACTAGTTGTTGTTGTTGTTGATGGTTGGTTATCTTCATCGCCTTCATTTTCTCTGTGTTGACCTGGAGTTCTGTTTTCGCTGCCTACCTTTTCAGCCAGTTTGTTGGTTTCCGCCTGCAAGTTTTCGAGTTTGTGTGACATTAGACATATATCATCCACGAAAACCAAATCTTCTAGAGTCTTCTTATCTGTCCAACCTATTCCTGTCTTCTCACTCCCAATGCACAGTCTGATGCATAATCCAGTCCACCACAATTGGACATATCGTCGATAATAGGCAGTCTTTTCTTACTCCTGTATTTACTTTGAACGCCTCAATAGGTTTGTATGATATTAGTATTTCTTTGCTTTTCTCTAGTTTTATAGGAAGAGATTAAATATTTTTTTTAAATGTCATAAGATATATATCCGTATTTTATGCTTCGATTGTTTTTGCTTATCATTACAGCTAAGTATGTGAGCATTTTAATGCTCAAAAAAGACTTAATACTTTTGAAATAGTTCTTCATCTACGTCTATCTGGTTTCACTTAGTAAAGACTTATTCTAATGTCATAAGGTTCCACTTAAACATTTTCTGAAAAAGCAAATAGTTGAGTGTTGGACGGAATTTAATTTAAAATCTGTCGGCATTTTTCATATTTCTGTATATACTGAATTTTTTAAAATGTGAAGAACACTTAAGGTAAAAGAAGGAAAGCAACGTAACTTGTTCAGAAAATTGTAGATGAAGCCAGTACGTACACAGTCTTGCTAAGTATTGTAGACTCAATATCTTTCATGAGGTGAATAGAACCCAGTAGTCTTAACCTTCAGAAAGTGAGGTACTTTGCAATTGACTGATTCAATGAAATCTTATTTACTTAGGTTCAACAATGAGAGGACGAGGGGGTGGGGAGAAGGCTAGTCAAAGAAAAATCCTGATTCATGAATAATCCCTATCCAGGCATTAATGAAAACAAACACACGTATTTCAGCGAAGAGTCTCTTTCCGTTGAATTCATTTTCTTAGCATAACAAACGCAAATATCTATAGGTTATTTCGTATGTATATGTACATTAAGTTTTTGCATTTACTTCGGCAAGTTTGACAGAGTGAAGGAACTCAACGGGTTTCTACATTAAGTTTGTCAAACAAAAATACAATTGGTTATGGTTATTCTAACTAAAGGGGTGAGAAATAGTAAGTTTTGTGTGGAGTTACGTAATGCAAAAACTGTCAAGAAAATTGTTTGTTAATGAATCTAGGGTAGTAACAAACGTGATGAGTTGTCACAATCAGTTGTTAAAAAGTTACGTAATAATATGAATAGTTTGATGATTGAGTTGTACTCAGGATGCCGAAAAGAGACTCTTCTCTGAACTACGTGTTTCGTTTTGAAAAATCCTGATTCTCCACCACGCTTCGGCATGCCATAATTCATTCATTACACTTTATTTGGTCATTCTAATAATAAAAAAAATTTGTTTGGTCCATTTTCCCAACAAATCACAAATACTTAATTAATATTTCCTCAGCCTGTTGTTGTTATGTATCATTATTTTGTAATAACGTGTACTATACCCCTCTTTTGTGTTGTTGATATAAGTTTATTGAAAACCTGCACTATGTCGTATAATTTTGTTTGGACTTAATTTCAACCGAGGTTCATCTGCTGAACACACAGTTCAGCATGTAGCAAATTAAAGTTTTAAAACGAAGTTTGAGGGATCTGGTTTACATATATTTTTATTATTATTTTTTTTGACATAAAATTGTTTAGGTGGACTTAGTATTTTCTCTTTGTGAAAAATCTGCACAACTAGGACACCTTTGGTTAAATGATAGTCGTTCAACCAGAAAGTTACATGCTACAAAGTGAGTTATTGTTTTTGCTAATTATTTCTACAACCTTATGATATTTCACCTTTAGGCATAAATCCGACCTAAACAAACTGGTTGGCTCTCATGAGGTATGCAACATAAATGGCACTGAAATAGAAACCAAGTCGGAAATTAAATACCTAGGCGTCATTCTATCTGCTGATCCCTCCTGGTCGTCTCATATCTTGGCGATTTCTAAGAAAATATTCCGTCTTACCTTGTACATCAAGAAGCTAAAACATTCTGGTATAACCCAACCCTTACTCCTACAATTCTTTAACTCTCGCATTCTGCCTATTATTCTCTATTGTTCCCCCTTAGTTTTTCCCGGGCTACTGAAGAAAGGCTATACCTTATTACGCAGGATGTTAAAGGTTGTCAGTAGGGTAAGCAACGTGCCACTTAACCAGCTTGTTAATATTCTGGTCGACAGGCACTTGAACTCATGTGAAAAATGGGCTAAATCCATTCTGTCTAACTCACACCACCCTCTTCATTCACAACTCTCCTCTTGTATCTCATCAGGCAGAACCAGAAGTCTATATAGAAAACTATACGCTCGCACTAGCAAGTACAAAAACTCAACAATACCCTACTTAACTCATGTTCTGTGCGATAAAGAAAGCATTAGACGTGATACCTATAACTTATTAAATAGTCAGTAGAACAACTGGATCTCGTCTTTCCAACTCATATCATTTATAGGTACAACGTTTTCTTTCTTTCTTTTCCTATTCTCTCTTTTTTTCTTTTTTTCCTTTTTGTGCTGCTTTGTTTCTTTATCTCGCTTACGCCAGTAAATATGACAGCTCCCACTTTTCTAACACCTTCAAACACTGTTTCAGCTTTCCTTTGCTACCGATATGCCAATGTGTTGTTGTAATAATGAACTGAGATTTCCCTAATCTATGTAGAATTCTATTTATTGTTAATGTACTAACTGGATGCAATACTGTAGTAAAAATGCTGAGAATTCCATTCTGTATCACATGTACTGTTTTGGAATAAAGCAAATTATTATTATTATTATTATTATTATACCTATATTTGTGTTATTTGATCAGTACAAAGTTGCTTGTGTGAAAGCGTTCTGTGCATGCAGACACATAACGTTTAGTTAAGCGGCGAATGAATAAAGTATCCTGGTGATCAGACAGAGTCAATGACTTTTGGTTAAAATCGTGTGATTTGCGTCAGCTATTGTTTATTGCCTTTGTAAGTAGACAATTATTTAGTGTTAAAAGAGTAACTATATTTAGACAAGGAGGTAGAGATCAAGGTAGAACAAGAGAGTGAATTTATACATATTATGGTGGAGAGTTCAGGTGGGTGGGGGAGAATGGTGAAGTTAAATTATAAAATAGATAAAATAATTTAATACATTAGATACGGAACCTTAATAGTGAGTGAAAATCAAAATCACGATTAAGTGGAATGCTATACAACAGAACAATACACAAAAGCACACAAACAAAACAATTTCGGTTACCAGGGTGGTGAGAGATTAGTCACACTATCTTTCTGTATGCATAGGTTGGGTCAAAGTCTTTTGATGACCAATGGCTTCTGCGAACCGAAGTAACCAGTAAATGTCACTACATTTCCACACAGTTCATTTGGTCAGTGTTTATTTTCACCGCTTTATTTTATCACCATATATATTTAATCGAAACTGAATAAATCTTGAAGTCAATTGGTGGATGGTGACTAACAGTGGAATCCAAAACGCGCATTTCTTCCTATTTGGGACTCGTCAGCTAAATGTGCTTGCATTCCCGAGTGAGTGATGGTGTTCCCACTGAGACTCGAACCCAGTGCCTATAGTTTCAAACATCAAAGCGTTCTTTATCCACTAGACCATTAGAGCCATGAGAGCCACCTCTTGTGCAACGGGGCATATTAATTATTTAATTCAATTTTAGACTTCCTTGTCGAGCTGACGAGTCCCGAATAGGACGAAATGCGCATCCTGAATTCCACTGTTAGTCACCATCCACAAATTGACTTCAAGTTACCTGGCCAGGCGTCGTCGGAGCATCTGCACAAGGAGCCGATATGTCAACCTGAGACAGGGCACTTCGGTTCAATCAATCGATGGGGAAATCTAAAATTGAATTAAATAAGCTGAATAATATATTATTTACATTAGCAGACATCATATTGGATCAAAGTTATTCTGTTGTATATTATTTAAGTGCTTTTGAATGGTTACAGGATTTTCATCATGAACTGACATTAGTTAGAGAACCATTGGAAAACCTGGGACCCCTAGCTAGGGGTCGCGCTATATCGTGAATTGGCAGAAGTTAGAATTCATGGGCCATTAGATTGGGTCCCAGTGGCTTAATGGTATACGAGCTCACCTTGTAACCAGAAGGTCCTGGGTTCGAATCCCGGTGGGTGCGTACTGCTGAAGAGTCCCAAACTAGGACGAAAAAGCTGTCCAGTACTCCCAGGTTTTCCAATGGTTCTCTAACTAATGTCAGCTCATGATGAAAATTCTGTAGTAACCAATCAAATCCCTACAAACCAACGCTTTTGAATAGATCATAACACATTCAGGTAGAGTTTATCAAGGAGGAAAACTACATCCCTACTAACTAATCAATTTTATATGTAACCAGATAATCATATATTGAGTTTACACACTGGAAAATGAATGGAATAAGTTAATTTTCTAGTCCTTATAATGTACTTTTTTTAATGTACTTTTTATTTATAAATTTTAGAGATGATTTTCACCGTTGGGCTACACAAACTATTGGACTGATTAATTTGGATCCACGTTTCAACGTGTTAAATAAATCAGCTAGTCTTTCACGCTTGACTGCAGAGAATAGTTGCCTGACTTTGACTCGTGCCCTTTTAAATGCCATATTACCAGAATTTATGAATTTTATGACTACTGAAACACCTTCACAATCAAGCCTATACGATGATTCAACTCAATTATCTGCTCTTAAAAGTAATTCTCTCATTCTTTTTTAAAAAATTATATGATACACATTATATTTCCTTAATAAATGTGATCAAGATAAAAATGTATCTGATTAAGAAATACTACTGAAAAGTAATCAGTAACCTAAAGTTTTTAATCGTCCACTATCACTTTCTTTTGTTTCTTTGACATTTTCTAACCTAAGCCCCACAGGTTCACTTTTCTCCTGACACTTTACGGATTTGGTCAGTGTTAGTCGATCGATTGATTCAGTTTATTGTCGTTGAACATCAGGTGTCAGAAAATCGGTCAACTACCATCGATCTTAGTATAATTGAATCAGCTCTACTTATGCCGTTTTGGTTAGCTGGAGCTACTCTTCCAAACACATTCAGTGGTGATAGAACAGTGGATTCTGTTGTGGTATGTTGTTATCTTATTTGCTTCCAAGTATTTTTTGTTCAGTTTAAATGTTCATTTCATAACAAGTCGATATTGTTCTCATAATTATTAGAAAACCATGCTCAATTTGTCTTTCATTTTTGTGAAAGCTCATATTCTCTTAGAGGTTTGTATTCACAGCTTCAATACTATATTCGTATACACTACTACTAAACGTTTTGTTTCAGAGGAAAAAAATGTATTACCACAGCTTCGAATACTTTCTTCTCTTCTCTTATATGTGGTTCGAAGTGATTCCAACATGTATTCAAATGTTTTAGACATACTAATATTCTGCTTAGTGGAAGTTGGTCAAAGTGTGGTGAGAGCTGGCTGCTAGCCAAAGTTGGTAGACAGTAATTGACGTCAATGTTTATGTCCCCAATATTAGTGGTGAGAAAATGAGAACAAAGGCTTTGCGTAGGCGGATACAGTTAGCATATGGATGATCTGACACAGCCACAAAGAGATGCAAGGTTAACTTTCTGTGAGAAACAACCAATCAAAAGACTGTATTTTCTACTAACAATAATCTACAATAATGTACATTAAAATCTATAAATATGTGTTGATTTTCCTTAATAAACGATCTGTTGCCTGGCCCTTGTCTTCTGTTGTTACAAAAGTACTTAGGATTGCAGATTATCAGTACCTTTGCCAAACGATATCAGTTTACACTTAATGCAATCTTAATACTTAATTTTATTAACAAAATTGTTGATATATTAATCTAAATATCCTCAATTTATGTCCTTATTTTCTTTTATCTTCTAAAGTATCTTTCATACAAAGATGATTTGGCTGTATCGAAACGTCAGTCTGATTTACTTTTGGCATTTCATCAAGAATGTTGCCTGTTAACAACAGTTCCTACGAATACTTGGATCAATCATTTATCTGTCAAACTATCTAGTCTGATTTCAAGCTGTGAACCAAAGGCAAGTTATGCACTAGTTGGCCATCATTGTTATCATAAATATTCTGTTAGCTTTCTTATGCAGTCCTTTTAGAATAGGTTAATCATTTCAATTAGCTTCTTCTTTTTTATTCTGCTAATACGATGTTTTCCTTCCGCCTTTCTTCACTTCAACCAAATGTCGCATATTGGTAGGTGTCGTTTCAGATCTCCTTGTCTATCTGCACTGTTTAAATTAGTTTTTTTTGTTATCACAATAAGTAGGCGATTACCAATTTAATAATTTTTGCTAATTTTAGATACTCATGTGACTTTTCTCTTATTTATCTATCTGTCTGTCTTAACATAGGTGTTTGAAAATGTTAACATACATTTAATTAGTCGTTTCCTGCGTTGTTTGGCACAAACCGCAGAGATTTCAGAGGAAGGAAGCAATCAGAAAGGTATGTGTACAGTTTCTCTCTCTCTCTATATATATATATATATATATATATATATATATATATATATATATATATATATATATATATATATATACCATATCTTGATATTTCGATACCTTTGTTTACCATATTTTAGACGCTTATTGTACATTCGCTTCAATGAAAACTGATAAACAACCTCTTGGTCAGCTTACTGGATTAGTGACTGCGCTTAATTCATTGTTATTGCATATTCCATGGCTTAATCCACCGGCACAGAATGAAGTAAGTGAAATCTTAACTTCGTTCTATTATTCATATATTTATTTTACAACGGTTGAAAAGTTCTTTCGTTTTCTTTCTAAAGCTTCAGAGACATGAACAGGCCGATGCCTGAGTTGTGAACTCTGTGATTTAGATCTCTCTTAAACTTTATTCGTCGTCAGTATAATTGTTGAATCAATAAATAAGTAGTCAGTCACTCCACCTGTTTCTAGTTTGGACAACTGGATAGCATCATTAGACCTCAAGCAATAAGTGTATAGTTTACAGCCTCGTGGAAAAATCTACATCGTTCTAACTGAGTTCTAACAGTTGGTCAAGAAAATATTTTATACATCTTTTCAAATTTTCAACACACCTCTATGATTCTGAATGTGTTTTTTTTACAATGCAGAGGTTAAATGTATTTTCTTAATGTATGTTCTGTTTACAGGTGAATGTCTTGGATGAATGCTTCTTTGCATTACAAATGTTTTTACTGAGTAATTTACACATTTTTTTGGCTACGGGACCCCGGGTGATTTAGTAATACTTACCTGCATATTGCACTGTGAAAGTTCATAGAAAACAAACCTGTGTTTACGATTTTACACCGCGCCACCCCCCACTTCAATCTTCTTTCATTCTTTAATATTAATTATTTTGAAAGTTTTCTGTTTTTAATATGTTTCTAAACTCCCAGATATTGCTCTTTTAGTTGTTGCATATCTGTGTGTGTGTGTGTTCAAGAAATATGTAGTGAAGTGTCTTGATTTGTCGATTACTACTTTCCTTGAAATTCTTTTTATTAACTTTACTGACTGACTGCCTGGCTGTGAGCATAATTTCTAAACACCTTTTTGTTATTACCAACCATATACTACTTAAATGATCTGTGTGTAGTAATTTAGTTTTCTGGTGTTTAACTTATTAATGGGTTTCATTCATTGATAGCATGGAAGATGGCAAATAATTTGGGTGTTTTTGTTTTCAAAGATACTTTAGCTTAATGTTTATTGTTTATGACATTGTTTCAATTGATTGTGTTTTTATTTACGCCTTCATCAATACTTCCTGTGTAAATATGAGCGGTGATAAGATTAGCTTTAGAGATAGAAGATTAAGTTTGTGTTTCTTGATTGTTATTATTATTTCTATCGGTGTTTGCGTTTGTTTTTATTACTCACTTTCCATGTTCCGTTTCTTTTGCAGGGGGATAATTCACCTCCACGTCGTTTAAGTTCTCAGGAACCGATTACTCGATGGTTGACATCTCCGCCTATATTATCCATTCGCAGTCGGATGTGTCAATTGAATGACGGAAAATCTCCAAATGAATCTCATACTGATAGTCGACATCAAAACAATAATAATAGTAATAATAATAATAATCAAGTATCATATGGCCTATTAGATACCTTAGAAGCTATTATATTCATTCTTAGTGTAAGTGTGTATTTTATGGATAATGATAGCCTACCTATATGATAACAAAGTTGCTGTATTTAAATAGTACTTGCATATCAGCATATTTAAACTTAACGATTGCTCAAAATTTGTGCCGAAGAAAGTGTAGATGGATCGAACACATGCTGAGGAGACCGTCGAATGGCATCTCACGCCAGGTCCTCGAGTAAAACCCGAATTTGGCGGTCTAGTGTGACATGAAGGAGGTGATAAGAGCTTATAGGCAATCGTTGGACCAGCTGAAGGGGACTGCAGAGAACAGAATAAAGTGGAGATGTGCTGTTAAAGACATATGTTCCACCTGAAACCCAATGGAACAATAATAATAATAACAATACTGTACGCTAAAAGATCGTATGAATCAGAAACGAAATCTGTTATTACTTTACTATGATGAAAAAATGCCACGAATTTAATGATACTCCAATATATATTGATTGTTCGGGCGTGAGCATAATCTTTGTTGTGTTTTTGACGGTAATTTCTATGATTTCTTGAGCATGGTCTTCCCTAGAACTGGAGAAGTATGTTCTGTAGATTTTTGTGCTGCATAGTTGGGTTATAATTTCAGTTAATATTCCTGGTAAGCCTCTTATTGGTCACTCGATTGTTCTGTGAGGTAAGTAGAGTTTCCAGTTAATGCATGAAATTGAATGTATGTAGCACTAAGCTATTGTGTTATATATCAATGATCGAATACTCTTATTTTAATTATAAACGTGTGAACTCATAGCCGTTGATTTCTTACAAGCACCCAATTCACTAGAGTCATCATTTTGTTTGCCTTTAAAAAAAATTTAGAATCACGCTCGTGACAGAGATTCTGTACTTTGGATATTTTCTACTTTGGAACCAAGTTTAAATCGATTGGTTGCTTGTTGTGTGGAAGCTGAACAAGCTGTAATCGAGGCAGGAACAGATTTGGATGAACCACTTGTGATTACTCAACACAGACAACAGGCGAAACTAGCTGTAAGTAAACCTTCAAACCGATTTTTATCAGTTTACACTATCGACTTCCATGAACACAAAGGATCAGTGTTTATCTTGATTTTTAAATATTTTTCTATTTTTCGTTTGTATTAGATAATTACACCGTGTTATTTATAATTTCGCTACAACATACACTTTTGTGAACTTACTAATCATTTTTTTAATCTTTCTTGTTCTAGTTGGAAGAGGTATTTGTATGTGCTTGGAAACACTTGAAGATTGTTCCACCTAGTGTATCTGTTATCGATCCCCTGTCTATGCTACAGCCCATATCATCTGAGAAGGATTCAAAGGCCTTACCTAGTACTCCACTGTCGGCTTTAAAAATAACTCGTTCAACTGCACTAATTGATCAGTATCAAGCTATTCTTAAGATGTCATTGAATTTATGCGGTTGCAATGTGGAGTCAAACAAGAATTCCCGTGACTCTAGTGAGTTATTTTGTTTGTTTCATTCGAAGTTCTGTTTTGACTGCCAATTTTAATTATCTGTGCATTTTTGAAGAATGCCTTGTCGTCTATTTAGTGTAACAGCATTGACGAATCTGTCACATCGTAGAGTTTTGTTGTTGTTGTTGTATTATATTGACTAACTCAAATGGTGTAATTTTGGATGCACAGTTTCATTCGAACTTTCCGTTTTATATTTCTCACGACATACCTTAGATTCTTCTTGCTTCCTAGGGAATAATAAGCTAACGTTAAATCGCGAAAATGAAGTCTGATAGTATCATATGGTGGTGCGTCGGTGGCACAGAGGTAGAATGCTCGCTAACCACGTAGGTGGTTTGGGGTCCGATCCCCGGCCGACGCACTCCTAAAACCTCGCTAAGCCAATAATAAGACTGGTTAAGAGGGTAGGTTGGACAAGAGGCTAGCAACCCCATCTCGTAAAAAATAAACACCACTGCTACCGAAACTTCAGAGATTTAGCTTTGAAGCCTTATGTTCCACTGGGAAAGTAAAGGAATAAAAAAGTATCATGTGGTGATATTTCCACTTGTGTGTGAGTTTCAATAGTTTACGTAGAATATGATGTCTTGGATTAAGGTATACGTCGTTTGTGTTCAATGTGTAGATGAGGAATATTTATTAAGAGAACCAATATTGCATGGAGGATTTCATCATGAGCTGACATCAGTTAGAGAACCACTGGAAAACCTGGGAGTACTGGACAGCTGTTTCGTCCCAGTTCGGGACTCTTCATCAGTACGCACCCACCGGGGTTCGAACCCAGGACCTTCTGTCCAGTACTACCAGGTATTCCAGTGGTTCTCTAACTGATGTCAGCTCATGATGAAATCCTCCATGCAATCAAACAAAATCCCTACAAAACCAATTCTTGAGAACCAATGTTATTATAGTTTGAAAAATTATTTGCCTAATGATTTTCCATTGCAAATGTATAATAAACAAACTGTATACGTAGAGTTATTTACTACAAATTTTTTGAAACGTTTTTGTTTGTTTATTATTCAGTACCGATTCACTTATCCACCACCTTTATTACCTGGTTCATTGGTTATTGGAATTATTTGGTCAGTCAGTATTGTGTCAAGCAAACTAAGAACGATGCATCAAAGTTGACTAATATTCGAAATTTTATGACCAATTGGGAACCAGAAGTACGGAAAATTGTTTTGCGAATATTCAATCCTAATATGCAGCATGTCGGTAATGTGGATTCCGTTCAAAAGAACACTGGTAAGCGTAAGTCTATCCCTCATAAAACCCCAAAATCGGAACCAACTAAACGTCGTCCACGTCTGCTAAAAAGGACTGGATCTCATTCACCAGAAGAAGTTTCCGTAAATTTAAATATGAAAAAAGAAAAAGACTTTTCAGTTGATTCAGTATTGAATGCTTCAAGTTCTGGAAAAAAATCGTTGAAGTCTAAAAAGAAAGTGGAACTGGAGGTAATTGTTAGTAAACGTTTTGACTTGTTATGTTTACATATAGAAAAATAAACGAAGCATTGGTTTGATACTGTTTTAGTTGTATGACAAATATCGCAAAAGAGTAGATAACTGTTAACTGGAACTCAAAAGGAAAATATATAATGACAACAGTATGGGAATAAAATTTGCATCCGATTATAATCATCTTTGATCACAGATGTTTGTGTTGTGTATACCGGGTTAACTGGTATAATATAGTGGACAATGTTTGAGGTTAAGCTTAGAGTGCTAGGTAAGTATAGCAAATCAATCGACGGTGTCAGGCTACATCGATTGAAATGGATATGACGTATGTTGTGCATTCCGTGCCACCGCCTTCGACGAGCAATGCTAGGTAATATAGGATTAGGTTGGAAAATAGTAAGAGTTGTCTGTCTGTCTGTTTTCGACATTGCACCGATGTGCGGCAGTTCAAGTCGCCACACTCCATGTAGCACACAAAGCAAGAGAAGAAAGTAGAAGAAATGCATAATATAGATAGTAAACAGAGGTGTGCGACAAAGAAATAGTAATAACGAAGAACAATATAGTTTCATTGGAAATCATAAGTCACAAGGAGTGAGAACGTTTTTCAGCCATATCACCAATCGTCTCCAACCATTGATTTTTACCATCCTGAGGACCCCAACCAGGAAGTGTACACCTTCCTACGTGGCTTAAACTAACTGTTGTGGATTTCATTGACCGATGAAGCCATGTTTTGATTTGACCACCACTACCGACTCTTTTTCAACCTAACCCTATATCAGCTAACATTGCCCGTCGAGGAAGGCGATGGCTAGGCATGCATAACACATGTCCTAACCATCTCAATCGATGTAACTTCACAGCCTCGTCGATTGATTTCTCCTCCTTACCTAGCACTCGATGCCTAACCTCAATATTACTCACTCTATTAGGCCACCTAACACGGTATATAGAACGCAGGCACCTATGATCAAAGACAGCTAGTCTTTTCATGTCTTCCACTCTCAATGGCCAGGTCTCACAGCTATAAAGGAGGACGGAGCGGACTGCTGAGCAGTACATCCGCCCTTTGGTCGACAGCCGGATATCACGTCTACGCCAGAGACGGCGTAAACTGGCATATGCGAAACTAGCCCTCTGAGATTTCGTCAGAGATCAACCCGTTGGCACTGGCTGATGTAACTTCCAATAAGTGAAGCGGTCAACGTGCTCTACCACTTCACTCTATTTCTAAACTAGGAGTCAGTGTAGTCCAGTCCTGTAACATCATCTTACATTTGGCGGGAGCGAATCGCATGCCAAACATTCGTAGATTGCAGCTCAAGGTGTTCAGAAGACTGCATTTCGTCAGCGTCCTCGCCTAGAAGGACTATATCGTCTGCATATTCTAAGTCAACGAGATTATTCCCTGGTAGCAAGTCAATCCCTGAGTCTCTGAAGTGAGTTAGGGTTTAAGTCCATTAGTACATCTATGATGAAATTGGATAGAAATGGGGATAATGGGCATCCCTGACGGACACCACTAGTCGTAAGAGTTAATGAGACCGAAACTTGGTCATCTTGGGTTTCGCACGATATTCTAGATTGCTTACTTACTCGTCGTGCGTTTTTAAGCGCAGATTTGAATCTCATCACTCCAGTTACAAGTAAAAATTTATTTACTTCGTTTTTCTTTTGATATTTCATTATTTTTCTTAATTAGAAGCCTTCGAAACCGGAAACAGGTTCAAGTGAATCCCCTAGTGATGCTAATGATTTAGAAAATACTGATGTACAGGTACTTTTACACAGTCCTTCTTCAAAACGACCCCTACGTGGTCGTCTTTCTCTTGTAAAAGATGAAAATCCAGTTCAAAGAATTGTGACACCTCTACGACGATCTTGTAAGTATTGTTTATTTATTTATTTATCTGCCTTATTACTGATTAATATATGAGGTTTTACTTGTTTCGAGTACTTTTGATTGCATGGAGGATTTCATCATGAGCTGACATCAGTTAGAGAACCACTGGAAAACCTGGGAATACTGACCAGCTGTTTCGTACTGGTTTGGGACTCTTCATCAGCACGCACCCACTGGGGTTCGAACCCAGGACCTTCTGATACTTTTGTCTATGTTGATGGATTGTGTATGATAGATGTTCACAGGTTCGCATTAGTGAGGCATGATGATTTTATCAAAAATGTTTTCACATTTGTTACTGATGCTGTGGCTTAACTTCTATTTATGTTGGAATACTGCATTTCCAAACACAATCAACAGTTGTAACCGTCGTTTTTACTAGTTTGAATTTTCACCTACTGAAGTTTGTACTAAATGTAAACTAGTGGCATTTCTTCCGGAGTGTAAAGTTTTGTAAGAAGATTTGATTGTGTTTGTGTGCAGCATCCCTGTAGGACACAATACTTTTGCATGTTAACCGATGTTTAGTCGTCATAAACAAAAAGGTTTTTATCTCATACTCAAGTGTTGTGGTGATAAAATTGCAATGATTATTAAATTATTAATGTCGGACTCACATGTACTTTTTCTTACATCTTTTTTGGCTAACTTAAGATGTTATTATTCGATGATTCGACCGTCGGTCAACACACCCCTAGAACTCCTCGCTAAGCCGTTAGTAAATCCGGTAAAGAGGGAAGGTTGGGGGTGAGACTAGCAACCTCACTTCGTAAAATTAAAACCACCGCTGCCGAAACTTCAAAGCTCTAGCTTGAAGTTTTATGTTCCAGTGGGAACGTTAAGGAATAAAATACATAAATAATTCAATTGCTCTGTCGCTTATATTGTTTTGTCTCTTCATATGTTGCTTTGTTTTTTCTGTCCAGTGGGGATTACAAGAAGTATTACTCAGTCAGCTCCATCAAACTTTGAAACGAGACGTGGTCGTAGCAAGAAAGGTGTTAATCTTTTTCCTGCATCTCCTAAACCTTCACCTGTCAGTGGTATTATTGCTGAGGCTTTTGGAATTCCACCTGGTTCAAGCTTGATGGAGCATCACGAATGGTCTCCGTCAATGCCTTCTCCTGGTCCACTGAAAGGTCGTCCATTGGTAAAACGTCGCTTGTTCGCTGGTCCACAGGAAACATCAATACACGAAGCTAATGCTCAGTTGCTTACATCACGAAAACGTCATTTCTCTGAATCAGAACAAAATTCAGTCATTTCACCGAAAGTTGAAGACTCCAATGATGTAAGTTTATTGACAATTTTTTTTGTCTGTTGATAAGGATGTTGTTTTATGCTCTCGGCTTATTTTAGAAACAGAAGTCAGTCATTTTAGCTTTCAAGGAGTGATCATTAAAGGCTATAGAATTCAGCATCATTTCGCGTCCTTATCTTTGAGGGATGAATTTCATTGGCTTGGGTGCAAATAAAGTTCACTGACAATTAATAACCAACACAAGGTGTTCGTCTGTTACTTCTTGTCTGTCAGCTTCACTCACCCAGTATATTACTCAATAGGTCTTGGATTTCACTCATACTTCACTGATTTAAGTGGTATGAATAACCTTCATATGATGGGTACAGTTCATATACGTAGTAAGGAGTATATATGTGATTACTAGTGTGTATATAAAATTTCGTCTTGATGAAATATGCTTAACTGAACTGTTTTTAATCATTTTTGTATAGTTTCTTTATTGCTCATGAAGAATTCTTATGAATATGTTTCTGTATGTGTTTACTTTTTAACTATCCTTTTCTTTAGTTTGTTTTCATACCGCCTCAAACAGAAAGTGCTAAAAAACGACGTCGTTGTTTAACTATCCATCAAAAAGAACGTTTCAAGGAACAAAAGTACGTTATAACACAATTTTTATCTACTATATGATTCTATATTCATTAAATACGCATACTTAAACAGTATCTCGACTGTTACTCATCGACTATTGGGGGGGGGGGGGAACTAGTGACTTATAGTAGTGTAACGACAGAAGGCAAGAGTCAGGCAACAGATCATTTATTAAGGAAATCAACGCATATTTATATATATTTTCATGTACATTACTATGGATATTTAAGTAAACAAACACAGTCTTCCGATTGGTTGTTTCTCACGTAAAGTTAATCTTTCATCTATTTGTGACTGTTTCTTGAATGTCAAATCCTCTATATGTTCACTGCATCCGCCTACGCAAAGTCTGCTGTGGTCGGTTTTGAATCAATCTTTGTTCACATTTTCTGACGACAAATCTTGGGAACGTAAATATTGACGTAAATTACTGTCTACCAATTTGGCTAGTAGACAGCTCTCACCACAGTAGTAAAAGTTGGCTTATTCTGTTAAAAAAAACTCATGTTGTTTGAAATCTTTGTACGGTTGTATATTAATTTCACCGGTAGTTATAAACATACTAGGTAGATATTATAATCCCACTGATTTAAACACTTGACTTTTCCAATCAGTATGGCCATGTCTCATAATTCAATTCACCTACTTCGACTGTAGCAACCTGGTATGATCATAAGTCGTGAAACACACACACACCAAGTTTTGTTCAGAGTCTGGTTCATAAGTAATCTGTACTGTGAGTAAATAAGTTGAGAATGATAAACTCTTGATTATCTCAAAACATTTTGTTCTCGAAACATGTTTTTTCTTTGTTACCTACAGTTCAGTATCGTTCATACTAAACACATGTATAAGGCTTCAGTGTCCCCCTTGATACTATTTCAAAACTCTGCTACTGATAAAAGAAAGAAGTCAATGGGGAATATAAAAGTGAACAAGTCCTTCTTAATGCATACTGATTCGTCTGTCTGTCTGTCTGGATTCAACATAGAACTTGGCACTGAAGTGCAGCAGTTCGAGTTGCCACGTTCCAAATAGCACACAAAGGTAGTCAAGAAGATGAGTGAAGAGAATCAATAGAGTTTTGACAAGTATAAGAGTGAAACAGAATGAGTAATGGTAGAAAGGAGTAAGAAGGTTAAAGAGACTGAATACATCTGCGCCATTGACAACGAATTTGAGCCATGTCACCTATTGTCTCCAGCCATTGGTTCTTAGAGTCCCGAGGGCCCCAACCCGGAAGTCTGCATCTCCCTACCTGACTCAGTTTAACTGTCAAGGATTTCATGGATTGATGAGGCCATGTTTTTGTTTGGCCACCACTTACTCTTTTCCAACCTGGACCTATATCAGCTAGTAATGCCCGTCGGGGGAGACGATGGTTAGGCATGCGCAGCACGTGGCCTAACCATCTCAATCTATGTAACTTCATAGCCTCTTCGAGTGATTTTCCCTATACTGATTCGATCACCATGAATTCTGTCTCTGTGTTTTAAGGTAGAATATCTGCGTTTATGTATTCATTTGAGGCGTCTAATTGGCGGTTAGGCTTATGAACTGATCTCTCAATACCTTGAAAACATACCTTAACAGTGTTACATAAGTTACTGGTTGTCTAATTGTATATTTGTATGTACTGATGTGCAGTCAACCCCTACTCTCTTCAGCTTTGAACTATTTGATACGAATCTTGATTTGTTTGCTGCTCTGCAGTTTTTCATAGTCATTTACACAGATATTGAAGTAGATAAAATAGTAGTTTAATTAACTACATTTAGGTAGTTGGGTCCCCGAGGTTTTGATTAGGTGTTTTTTTTTTTATGCAACTCCACTTGCTTATAAATGTTCGTTCTGCTCATGGATTTACTATCATCCACTGTTCTTTTTTTACATAGCCATATTCATATTTCTAAGTTGGTTAATAATAGTAATTTCGAAGCTATAGTGTCTGTTTTCAATGTAAAAGTGTAATTCTGCGCAAATTTTTCGTATTATTCTAAAAGTTTTTATCTTGAAATTTTATGTTTTAGAGAGAGATTGTTGACCTCGTTTCACCTAAAAAGGGTTACTATTTTCCAATAACTTTTTTTCTACAGAAGTGAATATATACCCCCGACATACACCGAGTTGGATATTAGTCAACAGTCATGGTCGTCTACGGGTGATTCACAATCTCAGTCATTGCCGCCTGTACCTAGTCTTCAATCTACTGAGAATAAAAGTTGTTTACAAGTCTCTGAAACACCAGAATTTATGGACTCTGAAGAAGTGAAATCAACTAGTACTACTACAATCAGCACTAAAAATGATGAAGATATAATAAATAATGTGGAAGAAGTTGACGTCGATCTACCTTGTAACGAAGCAGGAATGACACCTATTGAGTGAGTTAGATAATATTTTTATATTGTGGTAA